GAAGAACTGCCTGCCATCGCGCTTATATGCGTCAGGGAAGGCGCGAATCCCAGCTGACCACCAAATGCATGCGCGCAAACTCTGATTCTGATTGGCCCGCACCGATGTCAGTACTAGTGCTGCGACATGGGGCACGTCAACGGCGTCATGCGTCTTCGAAACCCAAAGAACCATCAACCTTGCGGAACCTGTAAAACGGCCCATGTGCTGCTGATCTGAATCGCTGCCATCTCAAAATGGTACCCTGCCTGCGAATACCCATACCGGTTGACGTCTCCTTCGAACGAGTGTCAGCGAAGAATCGAACATCACCTGGAGGGAAAGAAGACGGTGACGATGACCAAGATTGAAGGCAGAAACTTCGGTGCAGATCTTGGTCACGGCCCATCTAGGTCACCGTCGACTCGTGGATCATCCTCGCGAGATCGGCGACGGCCAGCATGGACCATGCCTACGAAAGGCGTCGACAAAATCTCGCGACTCTTCCCTCGATCATTGGAGCGATACAGAGGGCAGCGTGTCAGTAAAGCACTGTCTCCCTCCAGATGCCCCCCAGCCCCAGTGAGGGGCAGACATACGGGGGACTCGCCCAGGGGGAGGGGGGAACATCGACATGGAATCGGCGATGCATCGCCGATATGTCGGCGACAAGCCCCCTCGATTGCGGTCCACACGTTCCCGGGTGGGTATCAGACCCCAGTCGAACATCAGTGGGCGATTGGGGCTCGACGCGTTCCCCCCTGAGCCTATGCCCCCCGAGCGTCTTTAGGCCCTGGCCCAGGGACGGGGGCGTCGCTGAATGGAGGGGGGAGCGACGCAGGGGAGGGGGGAGAACGGTGCACTTCTCGGGCCCCCAAGGCCCCCTTTGGGGCCCTGAAGTGCACCTTTCCTGCAGCCCTCGCTCCCCCTTGCGCGAGGCCCCAGGGAGGGGGACAGCTCGAAGAGCCGGAGGCGGGATTTCCACCACAGCTCAGGGCCCCTCCGCGCCCCCGACAGCGGCACTCCGTGCGTCCCTGGCCGGAACCGGGGGCGGGGGTGAGGCTTCGGAGGCCCTCGACGCGGGCGGTGGAGCGCGGGCAGCTGTCTTAGATCCCAGCCCCAATGAGACGAGGCCAGGACGAGGATAACATCGGGCGAGGATATATCGAGAATCTCTGCGATCCGGCGGCTCTGGAGAATGGCGCAGGCGCCGCGACCTTCTCAAAGCGTTCCGGAACGCTCTGAGAGTCTTCCGGAATGCTCTGGAACGGATTTATCCTCGTCCTAGCCCCGTCCGATACAGTCGCGGCACCCATTTGGCAAAAAGATGAGCTCGGACACCAAACAATCCACTGCCCCTCAGGGGAGCTCTCACTGCACCCATCGAGGAGCCGATGCAACTCCCACGCAGCGGCAGTGTTATATAGAGGCCAACCAGGTTAATGTCACCACGTTCGGTCGGGGGGAACGCACGTAACTTCCCGCTGTTGTCGTCATCCAAGGCTCTGCCTGATGCAATGTTGACTGCTCGCACCCAGCCCTTTAGGGCGTAGGTGGTCTAAGGAGTTTCCTCTGCCAACCCCCTTCTTCCCCTTCGGGGAGGGGTTTACCCCTCCCCTTACCCCTCCCCACTGACCTGGACGGGGCCGGTCGCGAGGTGTCAGAGCGTCCAAGATGGCCCAAGACAGCTCCAAGAGCGAACAGGCGAGAAAACACAAAACATTGATTTTACCTAGGTTTTGGAAGGATTTTGGCATCTTGGGGGGGTCCAAGAGGCGACTCGAGGCACTCTGGAGGGGCGGGGCTAATAAGGAACCCCCCCTTCTTTGATAGATCTCCTCCAAGATGGCCCAAAGAGCGCCCCGAAGGCTCCCAAGAGCGCCCCAAGAGCGCCTCAAGAGGGCCCCAAGAGACCCCAAGAGGCCCCCAAGAAGCCTCCAAGACGTTGCCAAGAGACCCCCAAGAGGCCCCAAGAGAGTCCAAGATGACCCAAGACGGCTCCAAGAGCGAAAAGGCGAGAAAGCACAAAACATTGATTTTACCTAGGTTTTGGAAGGATTTTGGCCTCTTGGGGGGGTCCAAGAGGCGACTCGAGGCACTCTGGAGGGCCGGGGCTAATAAGCAACCCCCCCTTCTTTGATAGATCTCCTCCAAGATGGCCCAAAGAGCGCCCCGAAGGCTCCCAAGAGCGCCCCAAGAGCGCCTCAAGAGGGCCCCAAGAGACCCCAAGAGGCCCCCAAGAAGCCTCCAAGACGTTGCCAAGAGACCCCCAAGAGGCCCCAAGAGAGTCCAAGATGACCCAAGACGGCTCCAAGAGCGAAAAGGCGAGAAAGCAACAAACATTGATTTTACCTAGGTTTTGGAAGGATTTTGGCCTCTTGGGGGGGCCCAAGAGGCGACTCGAGGCACTCTAGCGGAGCAGCGCTAATTGGATACCCCCCCTTCTTTGATAGATCTCCTCCAAGATGGCCCCAAGAGCGCCTCGAAGGCTCCCAAGAGCGCCCCAAGAGCGCCCCAAGAGGGCCCCAAGAGGCCCCACGACGCCCCCAAGAGGCCTCCAAGAGGCCCACAAGAGACCCCCAAGAGGCCACAACAGGCTCCCCGAGATACGCAAGAGGCCCCCGGGACCGCCAAGAGGCCCCAAGGACGGCCCAAGAGGCCCCCAAGCTCGCAATTGTCCTCCTCCTCCTCCTCCTCCTCTTTTTCTTCCTCCTCCCTCCTCCCCCTCCCCCTCCTCCTCCTCCTCCTCCTCCTCCTCCTCCTTCTCCTTTTCCTCCTTCTCGTCCTCCTCGTCCTCGCAGTCCTCCATCTCCTCCTCCTTCTATTCCTCCTCCTCCTCCTCCTGCTCCTCCTCCTGCTCCTCCTCTTCCTCCTCCTACTCCGACGACGACGGCTCCTCCTACATCCTCCCCTTCTTGGGGTATATGGCGGCTCACCCCGCCCTTTGTTCTTCTGCATGCTCCCCCGCTTCCCTCATAACCTCCACTCCCCTGGGACTCATTTCTGGACGGGCTGGTGGGGATACGCGAAGCGTCTAGAATTTGTTATCATCTAAGAAGCCCACGCACCGGCTTGCTTCGAAGCCCAACTGGAGAAAGCTGCTGGCAATGGATAGCCATGTATGGAAAAAACTCTCTGGTTCGAGAGTGGTACAAAACGGAGCAGGGGATGATAGCATACGATACATGGTGGAAGCTTGGAGAAAACCACCCATCTCAACTCCCATCTCACACGATGAGAATGCACCCCTTCGCATCGTCGCCGAACATCCGCTCAAATGTGACTGATGCGCAGGAGAAAGCGCATTGCGATTGATCGCGCGAAAAAGATTACGTGCCACAGCGTGCCCGCTGCTGGCTACTCGGACTTCCAGTTCTCGCAGCACATCTGCACAATCCGCCGACCCCTTTGGGTCACGGAATGTGAGATGCTTCCCCCTTCCCAAACCCCTCCCCCGGGAGCCCGGTCGGGCCGGAATGGAGGGGAGGGGGTGGAGGGCAAAGGTGTCGGCCGCGCCCTTGGAGCCTCAGGGGGCCCAAAACGGGCAAGAGGGCCCCCAAAGGCCCCCCGGACGGTCCAAGAGGGCTACGAGTCGCCGAGAGATCGCTCCAAGACGCCCAGGACTGCCTCCAGACGGTCGCGGAGGCCCCCAAGACGCCCCAAGAAGCCACCAAGAGGCGTCCCAAGAGGCCCTCCTGAAGCAAAACTCGTCCCATTTCCTACGGAAAACGTATTTATTTTAGCACATTCGCCCCATGGACTCTCACGACGCCCACAACGGCCCAAGATGCCTTTAAGATCGACCCAAGATAGCCCAAGAGGCCCCCAAGAGGGCTCCAAGACGGCCCAAGAGGGCCCCAAGACGGCCCCAGCTGCTTCCAAAACGACCCAAGAGGGCCCCAGGACGACCCTAAGAGGAGGCCCAGAGGGGAAACCCGAGTGAACATTTCGAGCACTCGGCCCCGAAAAAACCTGAGGAGGCACCAATAGGCCCCCAAGAGGCTCCCACGAGACCCCCGAAGCCAAAAAGCAGAGCCGCGATCTGCCAACCGCCCCCAACGAAATCCCAAGAAGCTGAAACCCCAAGATTACCCAGAAATCGTTCCGCAAACTCAGTTTTTCCTTCTTACTGCCGCCCCAAGGGGTCGGCGGTGCGGCGTCAGCCAATGAATCAATCGCCCACCTAGATCAATATGAAGACTGAACACGCTCACATCCCACGCTTCATCAAGTTGGTAACAGGCGAAAGAAACGTGATGTTTCGAGTTGCGAGGTGCTCTTCGCAGAAATGCAATTCGCTTTCCGATTCCGGACTTATGCCGATGTGTAGGAGGACTGAATCAAACCATGCGTTCGCCCTGATGAAAAGGGAAATCTCAGGTGCCAGACTTTCACATAGGTGTGGCAACGAACCCGATTTAATCAGCACCTCCAGCTCATGTGGCAACCCCTTTCTGATCGGGTCTGTGTTGTTGGGCGCATTCTTCTTGAGCGGGTTGGGCTGCCGGGCCTGGGCGTTTTGAAGAGGTACCGCCCAAGGCAACATCTTGTTGAACATTGCAATGCTATCGCTCCACCTGTCCAGCATGAGAAGTACGCAGCGTGACAGCGTGTCCCAGACGTCATCTACCCACTGAGCAATTGGCTTTCCAACACGGTTTTTCCGAACAGACTGGAGCCACGTTAACTGAATGTTCCGGGTTATCATTATCTTTAACTGTTGGGCCAATGTCAACTGCGAAAACAAGCCGCATTCGGTCAGTCCCAGAATTGTCCCACATTCCCTGTGCAGATAAGTAAAATGATAGAAGTGCGAAAGTGATCTAGCAAGAGGCTCTCGAAGTATAACGATGCATCTTGGTTTCACGAACACTGAAGGAATCACGTCACTGCGTAATGCACCTGGGCAAAACGCGCGATTTCCAATCGCTCCGCACACTTCTCTCCGCGAGCGCTTCGTTCTCATAGGACTACTGGGACTTGTCTCCATGCGTCTCAAAATCGGTAACAATTTATGTGGTTTACACCATTATGCATGCACACGCCAAGCGCGCGCGGAATTCCTGCACTTCCGCAGTCTTGGAGCCATCAGCTCCTCTGCACACAACCGCCCTGTCAAAAGACGACTGACTGGGCAGATGGTTGTAAGAGGCTCCAGTGGCCCAGTCTGTCCGCAGTGCCTTGCCGCTCTCGCCCACCAGCGACAAATTAAGCACCTGGGCGGTGTGCCGCAGGTGGTAATCCAGCGTGCTGCCCCCAGTCTTGGGTATGTGGAAATGAACGAGCGGCACACCCACTGATGGGAAGGGCACCTCTTTTGGTGCGGGCGTGACGCGTCCGCGGGCCCGGGCATCACCAGGCTCGGCCGCCACTCCGGCCTGGCTGGCCCTCGCGGTGCCGGCGCTCCCGTCGGCCTCGGGCCCCCCGGCAGGGGCTCCGGGGCCTGCCCTCGCGGGCTCGCGCACACCTGCAACGACGAACGGGCACTTGAGGGCCCCTGTGCTCAACAGGCCCAGACACAGGCACGCCATCCATAGGCAAGTGTACAGTCCTGCCATGTGGCATCGACGTGGCTCAGACACAGGCACGCCATCCATAGGCAATGTACAGTCCTGCCGTGTGAAATCGACGTGGCTTTGTCAAACCAGTGTCGTTCTGGTCCGCGGCTGCGACTGCGACGGCATTGCCCTTAGGCGAAACCGCTGGGCCCAAGATGGCCTGGCTTGAGCCAAAATGGCTACGGAAGAGCCTCTGGAACTGTCTTGAAGCTCTCTTGGACCGTGTGGAGGCCATACGAAGCTCTTTGGGGACCGTCTTTGGGGCGTTCTGGTGGCTTCTTTTCTTGGGCCGTCTTGGGGCCCTTGGGCCGCTTCGCTCGAAAAATTAGCCTGGCGAAGGACCCAACCATATGCAGTTGTGCGTACCGAATGTGTGAATATCTTCTTCGGTGGCGCTCCCTTTGGGGCCACGAACCGTGTGAGGTGTGTGCCGACATGGGTGCGGGGGACGCGTGTGGACGGTGGCACTGGGGCTTTCGGTGGAGTTCCCTAGGAGCCACGAAACGTGTGAGTGGTGTGCCGGCATGGGTGTGGGAGAAGCAGATGGGCGGTGGCACTGGGGCCTTCGGCGGAACTCCATATGGGGCAACGAAACGTGTGAGGGGTGTGCCGAAATGGGTGCGGGGGACGCATGCGGACGCGGCCACTGGGGCCTTCGGTGGAGCTCCCTATGGGGCCACGAACCGTGTGAGAGGTGTGCAGACTTGAATGCGGGGGACGCATGTGGACGGTGGCACTGGGGCCTTCGGTGGAGCTCCCTATGGGACCACGAAGCGTATGAGGGGTGTGCCGAAATTGGTATGGGGGACGCATGTGGACGGCGGCGATGGAGGCTTCGGTGAAGCTACCTATGGGGCCACGAAACGCGTGAGAGGTGTGCCGAAATGGGTGTGGGGGACGCATGTGGACGGTGGCTCTGGGGCCTTCGGTGGAGCTCCCAATGAGGCCACGAACCGTGTGAGGGGTGTGCCGACATGGGTGTGGGGGACGCATGGACGGTGCCACTGGGGCCTTCGGTGGAGCTCCCTATAGGGCCACGAAATGTGTAAGGGGTGTGCCGACATAGGTGTGGGGGACGCATGTGGACGGTGGCACTGGGGCCTTCGGTGGAGTTCCCTACGGGGCCACATAATATTGTGAGCGGTGTGCCAGAATGGGTGCGGGGGACGCATGTGGACGGTGGCACTGGGGCCTTTGGTGAAGCTCCCTCCCTCTAAGGCCACGAAACGTGTGAGAGGTGTGCAGACTTGAATGCGGGGGACCCATGTGGACGGTGCCACTGGGGCCTTCGGTAGATCTCCGTATGGGGCCACGAACCGTGTGAGGGGTGTGCCGAAATGGGTGCGGGGGACGCATGAGGACGGTGGCACTGGGGCCTTCGGTGGAGCCCCCTACGGGGCCACGAAACGTGCGAGGGGTGTGCCAAAATGGGTGTGGGGGACGCATGTGGACGGTGGCACTGGGGCCTTCGGTGGAGCTCCCTATGGGGCCACAAAACGCTGTGCTGGGTGAATGAAACGCAGGGAGGAGGGAGGAGGGGAAGGAGGGAAGAGGGGGAAGGAGAACGTGCGGACCGTCTCTTCAAAACGAGGACCCAACATCACAGGATGGCGCCCGCGAACCACTTCACGTGAACAAATACGAGGGAAGCGGCCCCTGGGCGACCATTACAACCATCCTTGCGCGCTTCACCCCTCCCCTGGACCCTCCCTAGAGGGCTTCGCCCCAACTCAAAGTACATCACTCGTACCTCGCTCTTTCCGTCAGTCGTTTGGCATGGGGACGAAGAATGCGTTCATGTTGCGAGGGCGCGAGGTCGCACGCTTAGTGTTTTGGAGCCCTGTTGGTTTCAAGGTCGGTACGACATAAATCTAACAACCAACTTTGCGAAAATCAATAAATGTTGAATTTCAGGGCCGTCCTGGGCATCCTTGTCTGGCTCTTTTGGGCAGTCTTGGGGCCCTTGCTGGCCGTCCCGGGACCATCTTGGGCCGTCTTGGCGGGTTTGGGCCGTCTTGGGGCCCTCTGGGGGCCCTCCTGGGTCCCCTTGGAGACCTCCTATGGCCTTCCTGGAGTTTTTGCGGGAACCTTCTGGGAACCTCAAGAGGCTCTCTTGGGGCCCACTTGGGCCGTCTTGGGGGCCTCTGGGGCCGCCTTGGGGCGGTCTTGGGAGCCTCCTGGGCCGTTTTGGACGCTGTGAATACTAAAGAAGCGAAAATGCTAAAAATGCACGTTTTCCCTGGGGAACGGGACGAGCTTTGCCTTTTGGAGTTCCTCTTGGGGGCCTCTTGGGGCGTCTTGAGGACTTCTCTGGCCGTTCTCAAGCCATTTCGGGCCCTCTTGGAGCGGGATTGGGCCGTTCTCGAGCCCTCGTGGACCCCTCCGACGTCGTCTTGGATGTATATTGGGCGTTTTGGGCGCTGTCTTGAGCCGTCCTAGACGCCTCTTAAGCGCTCTTGGGGCTGACTTGGGCCGTCTTGGGCCGATTGCCGAAATTAGGGCAATGAGACCTGGGCCGGCACGGGAAAGGAAAGAGCGCCGCAGGAACTTGCCCGAAATGGCGCATGGCACCTGTCGCTCTTGGGAGCCTTGGCGTTAAGAGTTTTTTGCGTTACCGCTTTCTGTTGGGAGCCGTGGTGTTCAGAGACTTTTAAGTTGGCGCTCGCTCTTGGGACCCTTGCTGCACAGAGCTCTTTACGTCACCGCGCTCTGGGGGGCCTTGGTGTTCAGAGTTTGTTACGCCACCGCTCGCTGTGGGGAGCCACGGTGTCGCTTGGCGTCTCTTGGGTTTCTTGGGAGCCTTTTTTGTGGTCGCCCTTTTGTGGACCGTTTTGGGATTCTTGGCCGGTCTTGGGGCCACCCCAGTCCCCACACCGCCTCTTCGGGCCTTTTTGGGAGCCTCTGGGGCAGTCTTGAGCCGTCTTGGGTCCTCTTGGGCCGATGTGGGGCCCTCTGGGGCCGTCTTGGTCCCCTCTTGGACAATTTTCGGGCCCTTTGGGGAATCTGGGGCCGTCTGGGGACGATCTTTCGGACCTCTTGGGCCGTCTGGGGCCCTTCTGGGCCGGAAGAAGTGGGGGCGTCTTGGGGGCCTCCTGGGCTGTCTTGAAGCCATATTGGGCCTTTTTGGAGCGTTTTTGGGCCGTCTTCGGGCCATCTTGGACCTTTCTGACGCCGTCTCGGGCGTTTGTGGGGCTGTCTTGCGCCGTTTCGGGGGCGTCTTAGGCGCTCTCGGGGCTGACTTGGGCTGGGCCGAAAATTGCCAAAAGTAAAACCATTAGATCTGAGCCTCCGGCTGCCTACCCCCCCATCCTTCTTCTTTATTATTATATACCCCCACCTACCTCGTATTCCGGCCGATAGCAACCCAATCCAGGACCTCCCATCCGGACTGTAAAAAATCAATACAAAGTGGCCGTTTTTCTTCTCAGCATCGTCTTTCTGGTCGTCGACGATGCGAAAAGCGTGGCAGGAATGGGACGCGGCGCACATCGCGCGCGGCAGTCCATCTGGGCCCGCCCACCCTGACTGCAAAACATCAATACAAAGTCTTCGTTGTTTCCTCTCAGCATGGCCTGCCTTGTCGCCGACGGTGCGAATTATGTGGCAGGAATGGGACGCGGCGCACATCGCGCGCGGACGTCCATGCGGGCCGCGGGCCCTCCCATCCTGACTAGTGCTACTAATACCATTGGTACGACTACTACTACGACTACTACTACTACTACTACTACTACTACTACTACTACGACTACTACTACTACTACTACTACTACTACTACTACTACTACTACTACTATTACTACTACTACTACTACTACTACTACTACTACTACTACTACTACTACTGCTACTACTTGTTCTGCAAATTGTACTACCAATGGCAGTACTACCAGTCTAGCAGTCGTACAAGTATTACTAGCACTTCTACTTCCATAGTGCTACTACTCTGTACTACTACTCGTACGAGTACTTGTAATACCTGTTGTACGTCTGCTTATATTACTCGTATTATTCCTTGTACTACGAGTACTACGACCTATTCGTATCCCCACTCTACTACGACCACTACCACTACCACTACCACTACCACTACCACTACCACTACTACTACTACTACTACTACTACCTACCTACCTACCTACCTACCTACCTACCTACCTACCTACCTACCTACCTACCTACCTACCTACCTACCTACCTACCTACTCTACTATTACTACTACTACTACTACTACTACTACTACTACTACTACTACTACTACTGCTGCTACTACTACGACTACGACTACGACTACGACTACGACTACGACTACGACTACTACTACGACTACGACTACTACTACTACTACTACTACTACTACTACTACTACTACTACTACTACTACTACTACTACTACTACTACTACTACTACTACTACTACTACTACTCCTACTACTACTACTACTACTACCTCTACTACTACTACTACTACTATACTACTACTACTACCTACTACTACCACTACCACTACACTACTACTACTACTACTACTACTACTACTACTACTACTACTACTACTACTACTACTACTACTACTACTACTTCTGACTACTACTACTACTACTACTACTACTACTACTACTACTACTACTACTACTACTACTACTACTACTACTACTACTACTACTACTACTACTACTACTACTACTACTACTACTACTACTACTACTACTACTACTACTACTACTACTACTACTACTACTACTACTACTACTACTACTACTACTACTACTACTACTACTACTACTACTACTACTACTACTACTACCACTACGCGCCAGCACCCAGTTGCGCCAGCATTGTTTCTTATGTTGTGGAAGGGCGGAACGTGTCCGTTGTTCCTTTCAACATGGCCAGTCTTGTCGTCGACGATGCGAAATGCGTGGCGGGAGTGGGACGCGGCGCACATCCCGCGCGAGCGTCAATGCGGTGTCCTGGGGTATCCTCCACTCGCACTTAAATGCCCGCGCAACCCCCAGTTGTGCCATCACTGTTTCTC